TTTTTTTTTTTTTTTTTTCGATTTTTGTGAAATCTTGTTGTCAGACTGTGTAGCTATAGAGCTTGGAGTTGTTGAATTTTTGAGTAGTGGGGGAGTTCATATGGGGAATCTGTTCATAATGCGTCTTTTGTTACCAGCATAGAAAACGGTTTATTTACTGAAAATCTCGGACTGCTTTTCTAGTTCTTTACGGGGTTGTGTTGTTTCCGCTTCTTTTTGAGCAATTTATAAGCTGCCGCTTTGTAGGAGAAGGTTGATTAGAATAAGGTCCAAATATTCATCTCAAGTATTTTTTTACTGTTAGCTTCCGCCTCTAGTTTCTTCGTCATTTTTAGTATTTTATCAAGTAATAGTAGGGACTTCATATTACTTCTCCAACAGTCATGGCAATGGACTTTTTGCTGTAGTGAAATTGGTCAGTGATCTATCGTCATTTGCTTTATGTTGCGAGCTTTCCTTGTATTTTGTTCGTTAATATTGAGATGTTTTGGCCACCGTAGACTGAAGTGAAAGTTTGTGTTTTTGTTGATTACAAAATCAACAAATTTGTATATAAAGCAGTCACTCTTTCTTCTTTTTTTGATTTCGTGATATTTTGTAATGAAGCTCAAAATTACTGCAGGGTGCGGTTTGGTGCATGAAGTTTTCTCTCTGTGGTCGTCTTCTTGCTACGGCAGGTCAGGATAATATAGTACGTGTATGGGTCTTGCGAAATCATTTAGCTTATTTTAATTCAATGCGGGAGCGTTATAATGCACAATGCAAACAAAGCTCGAGTATTCCTTTTGGTGATGGAGTTCTTCGAAATACGATGCAACAGATTGGGAAGGATTTTCGGTCATCTAGCACAACAGTGAGAATTATGCTTATTGTTGAAAAAAAACATTTTTCTCTGCCAGTTTTAAAAGATCATGTGAATTTCAAAAAGTATTTTTTAAATGTTGTAGTTTAAGTTAGGGGATAGCGCAGGATCAATGTGTTCTCATGACGAGGATGTGGACAATGACAATTGTTCGGTCATGGCTGCTAAGCCGTTATGTACGTATCGTGGGCATACTGCAGACGTATTAAATTTGTCATGGTCCCCGAATTATTTTATTCTTTCTTCTGGTATGGATAGAACTGTCAAGTTGTGGCATCTCTCTCGTCCTGAGTGCCTGTGTTGTTTTCAGCACATGGATTTTGTTACATGCGTTGCCTTTATGCCGAAGGTAGTTTTCTTCTTTTCGGTCTTTTCTGCTTTAAATGCAAATTCATTCAGAAACTTGGGTTTTTAAGGATGACCGTTACTTCCTTTCCGGTTCATTAGACGGTAAACTTCGTCTATGGCATATACCAGATAAGAAGGTTGCTCTTTGGAATGTGGTTGAGCAAGTGAAATATATTACTGCTATTGCCTTTGTAAAGAATAGCAGGTTTGTGGTTGTTGGTACATATGATGGTCGTTGCTTCTTTTACTCGACTGATCAACTTAAGTATCATACTGTGATTGATGTTAGGTCAACTCGAGGAAAGAATGCTCGAGGACATAAGGTAAAATATCAGAATCAAGTAATTGTTTGTTATAACCTTAAATTCAACATGAGTTATTCCTTTAGTTCTTTACCTTCATTCAAAATGATTTTCTGCTGAGTTGGGATAAATATAGTGTAGATCCTTACTTTAAACTCTCATTATTCTATTAATAAAAAGTGTAGGTAACTGGTCTGTCTGTACATGGCGATAAACTTTTGGTCACTTCGAACGATTCGCGCATTAGGATGTATGACCTTCGTGATATGGCACCTACCTGCAAATTTAAGGTTTTGTGTGACATACTTTTCGTATCCTGAGCACCGCGTTGGGAGAAGGATATCTTTGAGAAATTTTTGTCATTTCTTGCATTCAGTACGGGTCTTCTGTTAGTTTTCAACTGAATGATTTTTTTAGGGAGCTCAAATTGAAAGAAGTCAAATTCCAGCTGCATTCTCCCCCGATGGTAAGCATATAGTTTGTGGTAGTGAGGATCACTGTATTTATGTCTGGTCGACTGGAGATCTTCCATCTTCCATCTCTGTGCGTAAAGATCGTAACGAAGCGTGGCAACGAATAAGTTGTAAGGACTAAGTTTATTTATGTTGTTTTTGTCTAATTGGAAGTCTACCTATTAAGTCGGCAAGTTTTAAGGTCATTCTGCTTGTGTTTCGGCGGCAATTTTTGCTCCACGTCCTTCTCTTTTTCTTTCACTGATGGAACACCGGCGTGGTGGCGAAGAAAGGAAGTTTGAAGCGAGCGGCCATACGAAGTCACACGATCGACAAATTCAAGGAGATGTAATCATTTCAGCCGATCTTCAGGGATCGATCAAGATTTTAGCTAACCGTATTCGAATAAAAGCAGGAGGTTCAAATTTCTTTTCAACAGGTATTGTATAGATGGGCATTCAGTTATAGTTTTTCAAATTAAGAAAATATTTTTTGTCTAATTTGTTCTTTTTTCCAGATTATTTGCTAGCTCTTTGTGATTTTTGCATCTATTTAAGCAAGACGTAGATGAGAAATACGAAAAGTGTAGGGTTTTTCATCTCAAAGATTTTCTCAGCGAACTTCGAACGTCATTAAATTCTTACTTTAGTTCTTGGATTCTTGTAAATATCTGTATCTGCGAGGCACTTAATAGTTGTGATAAGATGTATCATAGCTTTTAATTAAAAGTTACTGAATACGTTGTTGAACTCTTTTGATGTCGGGTACAGATTTCTTTTCAAGATATATTCAGATGTTTTTTAATTTACTTTGTTTACTAAGTTGTTACATACTTTTTATGCTGACCTTGGTCTACGATGTTATTTCTGTGATTTTTGGAAAAATAATTTCTTATGCGTTCCCGTGGTAGGGCGGTTAGCTTTGATATTTCTTCTTGGAGTTTTCTTATTTTAACTTGACCTTTTCTTTTGGTTTTTGACAGGTACCCGTGTTACGAGATAAAGATGCTGTGCTTCTCAAGCTCCCTAGTCATTTATAGTACTTTTAATGTATTTGTTCCAGACCTTCAGCGGATCCAGTAAATGTTTGTTTTTTATTTAAAATGTGCCTTAATAAATGATTATTGGATTCTTACCGTTTTGAGCGGATGGTACTTGTTGCTGTCATATGCGACATACCTTTTTCTGCTATTTGATGGCTTACAATCTTTCTTTGTTTCCCGTCCTTGCTTATGTGTAACGCAGTGGATCGTTTAACCAGCTTTTTATTTTTTACAGATCAACTCTGTTCTGTCTGGTTACTGAAGCTTCGTTAATTGCTGTGTCACGGTTAAGGCGCATGATTTTTCGAACGTATTTGAGGTTACAAGCATGGTCAGGTTTAGGACGAAATCCATTTCGGTTGTTTAGTAAGAGGGTATCTTCAAAATCAGTAGACGCGGTTAAAGCAAGCTCTGAGGTAGAACTTGTGAAAGTGCCGAAGAACGACCCGCTGAGTGCTAAAGCCTTTTTGGAGGATGAAGTGGAAGCGGATCATTATAATCTGGAAAGTTTAAAAAGGATGAAGTAAGCACATGGGTTTTAGCTATTTTGTTTGCGATTTCCTTATCTTGTGGTGTGCCTGAAGGAGCCAGTAATAGTTTCAAACTGGTTGCTTCTATTTCTATGTTAGGACAAAGTTTGGCCCAGTTGTTAGTTTCTGAAGTTCACTCAATGCGTAGTTTTGATGATTGGTGTGCGTGG